TGTAAGAAGTGATAAAAGGATGACTGTATGTTTTATATGGACATTACTGTAAAGTTGTAATAAGTAAATGTTAGTAAAGGTTACTTTGTGCTGTTACATGTAAGAAGTGATAAAAGGATGACTGTATGTTTTATATGGACATTACTGTAAAGTTGTAATAAGTAAATGTTAGTAAAGGTTACTTTGTGCTGTTACATGTAAGAAGTGATAAAAGTTGGTATTGTGGCAAGTGTAAACATTACCATAACCAGAGCCAGCAAGTTGTAAAAAGTTTACTCATGAGATCTTATCACAGATGCTTGTTCTAACATCCAGGATCTTGAGAGTCAGAAGTTCAGTTTTTTCTCTTTCTGTTAACAAGTCAGTATCCTACAGAGGTCAAACTTAGGTTTTAAGCTGTACCTTCAATTATATATAATATAGTTATATATCTGTGTGTGTGTTAGTGAAGGAAGCCAACAAAATGAAACTAGAGGGGCACTCAGTAGAGCACGTGACTCTGCCATGAAGCATTGATCATGTTTGGCTCTCAAAAAATAATAAATTTGTCCGCATGTGTCCATGTTATCAACGGCCATGGAACATTTTTGGCAGGACAGTTAGGAATAATATTCTGCTTATGTCCATCAAGTTTCATCAAAATCCATTACTTTTTTACTGAGTTACAGAGCAAAAATAGTGTGAAAAATTGGTCCCCGTTTTAACTCTTTCAGCACAGGCTTGGTCCGCGGGACTGACCTCATAGTCATTTTGTGCTTGTTATAGTTTTCATACTATAACTTTTAAATTAGTTAGTGTATCTTCATGAAAATTTTTCAAATTATCAGTAAACATTACATGGCTTTTTTATGCAATATATCAGATTTTTTTATTGTTTTTTAAGATTTTTTTTAAGTAATGTTTTTCTCATGCCCTTTTTTTCTTTTGGAATGTTGACTATCAAACATGCAAAGTAATTTTGATTCTAAGATTAAAAATACTTTTATGCATCAGAAAATTTTCAACTTTTAAAAGCAAAATCTTTATCATTTTAAGAACATTATCAAATGGTTGTTAAGAAAAAACTTTATATTTTATCTATTATTTTCACTATCAAATCTCTGTGCAGGTTTGGTTGATTTGACTGACCTTGCAACCACCATAAAAAATGAGGATATAAATATAAATTATGCTTTTTTGTTGTAAAATTACTCCAAAAGTTTAGTCTAAATAGCTCGAAATTCAAAACATTATACATTTATATACATTTATTATATTGAATTTCCAGCCGTGCCTGGCTAACATTACAGAAGTTGCAATAATGCGGT